AGAATATTTTTATAAAATATATTATCTCTTTACAAAATATAAAAACTCACTTTAGTGCATGATCAATTTTCATTTCTCGTGTTTATATATATATATATATATATATATATATATATATATATATATATATATATATATATATCGAGTTACTAACTGAAGTATCAGAGAAATTAGATTGAAAATTTTCTTTTGATCTCAGTCTTCGAAAATGTGATACCTCGAAAACATAATATTTTTATCTTGAAATTACTTTGAACAATCCTATACATATAAGATTGGCTCATGTCATATTCATGAGAACGTCAATAACATCTTCTTATGACACTATAAAAAATATTATACTTATTTATCATCACATCTCAATTTGTTTATCTTTTTCAATCGATCTAATCCATATGTCAAATATACATATGTTTATTAAAAATATTTCATTCTTCAGTTCTTCAGCTAAATCATAAAATAAAATAGTAGGATGATTCGATCATCTTACTATAATGAAATACGAAGATGATAATTGTTTTTACATCTCATTACTGTAAGGATTAAACACAACAAATCCAAACATAACAGTACCCAATAAAACAAAATTTACTGATTGTGAGAGCAAAGACGACCCAAATTAATCCCGATAAAGAAAAAGAGACGTAAAGAGAACGAAGGCACAGTCTCCATGTCCTTTATTGTACTTTGAAGGACTACTCCGGACGGATCAAAGTACTTAATTTCCCATGGCCCCACCAACCATGTCTATGAACATGAGAAGATGTATTATCCCTTTCATGCCTCAGCCACTCATCATGATACCAAAAAAAAAAAAAAAGTAATCTTCCATAGCTGACAGATGCTATCTCTAAATTGTGGCCCAGAAATATGAACCTTGCAAAAGTCTGCAAGGCACAGAGAGAGAGAGAGAGAGAGAGAGAGAGAGAGATTCACTGTTTCTACTGGCTGATTAGAGTCTATCCAAAGCCCTCTTGATATCCAACCTAACATGCTCTTCCACTCTCCATTAATTGAAAGCTTAATCCATTCAGATCCAGTGCAGTAACCTAAAATGGATATGGACCTCAAAACTTTCTACCATCTACTCAAGCCAGCAAACAATAATGTCATCATGTATGTACACATATATTCTCATATACATTGGGGTTAGTAAGTATTCTTAACTTGGTAGAGTCAATATTCTGGAGGGAGAAGAAATTTTAATAAGAAAAAAATTCTTTTTAAGGAAAGGGTCTTGTTTTTTTTTTCAAAAAAATTATATATGTTTCTAATTTCTCCAAAATCAAAATTTTAGATATTATTATTTTATAAATATTACATGTATCTTTATATTTTGATCCGAATAAGATGTGAGAAAATATTTTAAATGCTCCGAGGTTTCTCTCTAGTGAATTTAGACACAGTGAGAGAAAAATATTAGAGAATTTTTTGTGAGAGGCTACAGAAATGAGTTTGTGCTAAACTCAATGGTATTTATAATTGATAATAAAGAATTTAATTTCTATCAACTTTCTGAAGTGTTTTAGCTTGGAAAGTCTTCATATATTATTTGAAGTAAAGGCATCAAGATGGAAATTTCCTGCTCTTTTTCAAGTATTTTTATTCTTTTGGAAATTGTAAGTACAAATGCTGTACGCACTTGAGATGGTTCGATCTTTCAAGCCAAACGTCCATCGTTGAACGCTTGGCCCATTGGCCATGTTGTTCCCCAAAGAAAGTGTTGGGCCCAATCTTAGAGAAACCATGTAGAATACATGCATACCATGCCAAGGCAGTGCAAACACACTTGACACAGTCAATGGAAATGCATTGACTTGGACACCGTGGCATGCCTTCTACGTCAAAGGATCCATTGGCTCCAAAGCAGAAGTCCATTTAGTGCTACCACCGTAAAGATCGCGGCCGCAGGGGTCAAATCAAGAGCACACTACTTGGACTTGACTTGTCTTGGGGTGAGGAGGACACCAACTGCGGACCATTTCAAGCTCCAAAGCAGAAGAATCGGTCCGGTTATCGACCTTAACAGATACAAGGTTGCTTTCCTGCTAACCTGAGATCGATGTATTCCCTCTCTCTCTCTCTCTCTCCTTACTAACTATTCGCATGGTCGAAGGGGGGAGAAAAAATTGTTGTCTCTATTTGATATAGCATATTTTGACATTCACTTCACGTGACATGTCGGCTGCCACAGCAGACTCGACGTGACATCCTTAAATCGACACGTCGCACCGAGTCAATTCAGCACCATGAGCCAAGACCAGTTAGTCGCCTGATGTCATCCCTTTGCATCCACTTCCCTCGAGGCTATATAGGTGCGGCACGATCATGTACCGAGCCACACACGAGATGAAAAACAGCATCGAACGAGACTTAATTGAGCAAATCAGGCGTAGCCTGCACCAAAAGTACAAGCCAATCACCTATAGCATTAGTGGGCATTAAGCACCTATGTACGATAACGATCAAGGATTATTAAAGCTGTTACGTACGATCGCACATAGGAACAGATATAAAAGCAACCCTAGGAATAATACCGAGAGAGTCAAGAAAAAAAACATTCATCCATTCTCCACAACTCTCCCACCCTCAAAACCTTTGCTAACTTAATCATGAGTCAGCTCTTTCAACATCGACTTGTGTACGGGAACCCGACAAACAACAAGAAGAGTCACTTTCAACCTTCATTTGTGGGAACATAGGTAGTAGCCCTTTAACCCGACTCCAAGTCAATACAAGCTCAAAGATCATACTAGTACTAATACGCATTGAGATAGGCTAAGCCGAGCTAATACCTCGACCACGGTATAATGGTACAAAACACCATCCATGTCATATACTATCATTGGAAATCTTTCCACCAGATGACATCCTTTTAATCTCTCTCTTCTTCCCCGGATTGTACTGCGAAGGGATGGCGTATATCTCGTATCTTTAATGATTGGGATGATGATGATCTTTTGCATTTGCACTGTATCTCGTATCTCGAATGATTCATCAATCGATTAGTTGCTGATTTCGTTAGAATATCACAGTATACTAAGTCTGCACAGCGAGGAGTTCTCTGGCGTTGTCATCGACGCAACGATCGAGCACTGAGAAACCATGCATGCACGTGGACAGCAAGATATGCCCACGTAACATGGATCGAGAAGCTCCATAAACTACTTGATATATAGCTGATTTCAAATCATTACCAGCAAAAAAATCTACTGCGTAAAGATTTCCTTCCTCGTTATTTTTCTTCTTAACCTAATCGCATCCATCAATTATCGCAAACATATCCGCTGATCTGTCCACGACCTCTCCAACAGGGATCTCTAATCATTGAACCCAAACTTGCACAGGTGCAGCCTGTTTTGTTTATGTTCCACGCGCATATCGCAAAGACTGCAAACATAAGACAATGCAGGTGTAATGTTCCATCACATCGACTTCTTTGAAAGAGGCACGGTCTTCGTGTGGCAACAACTGGTTAGACATCAAGACAAGGAATGATTGAGCTACTGCTAAAATAATTGTCACCTAATGACTCATGCGGATCACTGTGGGGGCAAGAAACAAGCATGCTTTAGCAGCCCTAATTAGAGTGAGAGATCTCGTTGGTGTTGTGCTTCCTGCAAACCCTAGAACATGGTGGCACATGGATAGTGCATGCATTTATTCGATGGGGATGACAAGACACATCTGGAACCCAACATAATCTTACAAAACAATGTGAGAAGGGTTTTTGCGAGGATGTGAAAAGGCAAACGCTACCAAGTTGACTGTTCTTCGTGGTGGACTATGACCAGCACTTGTGTCGCCTTGTCGTATTAGTGACGCGTATACGAACACGGTGCGAGTACGTGGCGCAGGCATGGCCATCAGTGGGGAGGGCCACGTGATCCAACCTCCACCATCCGATCTGCGACGCACGATCAAAAGGCGGCGAAAAGAAGGGTGCTGCTCTCGTGTCTTCGTCGAGCCACCACCGAGGAAAACTCGTCGCCCCCACTCGTCGGACCAACTAAAAGAATTCCCTTCCCGTCTGATGGCAGCACCGCGTCAGATTAATGGGATTCCAGAATTTAAAGGAAGTGACTTATCTGTGAAATCTAATCATATTTAGATTTAATTAAATACTCAAAATTATAGAAGCTACGGGAGAGAGCGATGACCGGCAAGAGTCAAATCCAAGTGTTGACTTGAAAAGGAAGCAGGCAGAGGTGGTCGCGGCTGGCGGCGCCATGTTTGGGAAGACAAAGAAACCAAGAAACCCCACCGTAAACGACGCCGACGGATGACCGTCACCTGAAAACACCACCACCACCACCACCGCTCCACAACTTCCCAGACATCTCATGTCAGGTCATGTTCAACCGATATCCTTCTCTGGTCCATGCATGACCATCACAGCTTTGTGCGTTTCTCCCATCCCACAAAAATCGACCGTATTACCTAAAATTATATTTACACGATAATATAAAACAAATACCATAAAAAAAAACATCACCATATCCACCACCTTCTCTTTCGGGTCTCGAGAATTGTAGTCTCATCGCATTTACTACTTTCCCAAAACATATCAAATAAATGCTCCACCAGTATAGTATAAAATGATCATCTAAAATTGGGGGCCTATTTTCCAGACACGCTTAACCAATTAACATCTAAAAGAATGGATGCACGTGTTCCGAGATTCGCGCGTGATCTTGATGATCAGAGTCGATGGACGGCTTGGATGCTCCATATCAACCCAAATCGTGCGATCAAAAGGCTTTGGGTTTCGATGGCGCCCATCAGGGTCGATGCGAATCTTAAGGCCCCCGAGTGAGTCGTAGAAACCATCGCCGTTACGTTAATCCACGTAAGAAGCAGGGAACACACGTCCGAGTTGACGTATGCGGACCACTTCCACTGCGTTCCCGGTTTGACTTTGGACTGGGAATGGGGTTGAGATGAAACCGTCTTAAAGAGAATAAAACGACAGCGGCGTCGATGAGGTTAATGATATTGTTAGGAAGGGGAAGGGGAAGGGGAAGGGGGTTAGGCGTCAGTGCAAGAAGGGAGCAGGGAGCAGGGGATTTCCGTCTTTTGGTCGGGCCAGAGAAGAAACCGGATCAGATTTGGGAAGCCACAGCCAGCAGCTGTTGCTGCCGCTGCTGCTGCAGAAAGAGAGAGAAAGGAAGGGAGCAGGAGCAGCAGCTGCAGCAGAAGCAGCGGCGTGAGGAGAGAAGGAATGACATAAAAGGTCGCAGTACACACATGGAGGGTCGAAAGCAAAACAAAGCGAAGCCAAGATAACATATATCGGACCGAGAGAAAGCGAGTGCCGGAGCGCGAAGCCTTCGAATCTCGTTCCTCGCGCCACCGAACTCGGAACTCGAGATTTCTGCCCTCGGTTTCTTCCCCTTCCTTTACTGCAAGATCGGTGTTTTATTGCTGGGCGGTCGAAATCTCCGAATTGGAGGCGGGAGGGGAAGGGAACCGGTGAAACGGGATTGCTGCCGAAGATAGCTCGCCTCGGATCCTTCGGGCGCTGCCCGGCCCCTGATGGGCCTCCAGGTGAGATGCTCCTGTTCTATTCGGCGTCATATGTGGAATTTTCGCGCAGATTATTTGTTCTGGATCGAAACTGCTTTCTTTTCGTGTGATTTCCTGCTCTCTTTTTTTTATCGAAATCGAATATTTACCTCTTTGAGCTTTGGGGCTTCGGCGTCTCCTCGACTACAATTGGGAATTGAGGCCTTCTCATGGATGGAGAGAAGTCGGCATTCCCTTTTAGGACAATTGTTTTCTATTTTTAATGTATCCCGTAGCACCCGCACCTTGGTAGCGGGATTCGTTCCCTCTGGTTGTGACCGGTGATCTGTCTTGCAATCAAGGCAATCCACGGCGCTGAATCTGTCTAGATTTGGGACATGTATTTATATCCACGCTTACTGTTTTTGCAGAGCGGATGAGGGTGTTGCTTGGGTGCACGGAGGTCTTCTTTTTTCTCCCTTGAGAGAAGTGTGAAATCATGGCTCATGGTTTCATGCTTCAGGAAGAAGAGGAGGATCTATTTTTCGAGGCGCGGGAAGACATCTCCTCGGTGTTCGATTCTTGTCCCAGCACCCCAACAAAGGACGATATTTTGCCGGAGGATCAGTTCATCAGTCGAGCACCGGCCGGTCCCTTGTTCGACGTCTGGATCACGAGTCCCGACGGCGTGAAAGAACGCCGAGATAAGTTCTTGAGATGGATGGGCATGGATCCCATGAGCGGCTGGCTTCGGAGCTCCACCTATCGAGTTGGACAGATACAGGTCGAAGATGAGATCCAGCCAGACATCGACAGGATCATGTCGGATATTGGGTCTGTGCCAAGAGGCTATGATACGGAGTATAACCTTTCAGTCTCCAGCCGGTCGAGAGAGGACGCGAGCACATCCTGTGAGGAGGTCTCGGAAGAGAACTCGATATGCAGAATCAAGAATTCGGATGATTACGTGAGAAGCCTTCATGTTGTTGGTTCGAACCGGATATATGATCAATTCAAGAGAAGTTTGGGTCCACTGTCTTTTATCCAGCGGCTCATGCATCGACAAGGTATTGCATCAAGAAAATCCGACATTTCTGTGCAGAAGAAGAGGCTTGGGTGGCTGTGTAGATTAGGTAGTGGGGTTTGCATAACAGATAGGCAAGGTGTGGAGTGTAATTCATCTTCTTCAGACAAAGATAAGAATGGAATTGGTGAGTCTGGGAGAGTGAAAGTTAGGCCATTGAGAAAGTGGTCAAAGGTATTGTCTGCAGTCTACAGAGGGCAAGACATCAAAGCACATGATGGTGCAATCTTGACCATGAAGTTTAGCACTGATGGACAGTACTTGGCCAGTGGAGGTGCAGATGCGATCGTCCGGGTGTGGCGTGTCATGGAATGTGAAAGGACAAATGAAATCAGTATTCCCGACTATGATCCTTCGTGCATATACATCACAGTGAATGATAGTGGCAAGTTAACTTTGGTGCACGCTGATAGGCTCAACAAGTCCAAGTCCAGGGGTATGAGGACAACTGCAGATTCAGCATGTGTGGTTATTCCCCCTGCTGTTTTTCGGCTATCTGAGAAACCGGTACATGAATTCCATGGGCATGTTGCAGATGTGTTGGATCTCTCATGGTCATCAAATAAGGTCTGTCACCTTCTTTAATCGACTGTTTTTGTGCCTACCATTTTTCACTTTTGCTTTCAAGAGTCCTGATTCTTCAATTATTTCCATGCAGCATCTGTTGTCATCTTCCGAAGATAAAACTGTTCGCCTGTGGCAAGTTGGATCTGATAGCTGCCTCAAAGTTTTTCCCCATACGAATTACGGTAGTTGCTTATTGCAACGTACTTATGTTATTTTTGTGAATCTTTTTCTTCTATTCATTCTGATATATTCCTCTGTGGTTATCAAATAAATAATGCAGTGACTTGTGTTCAATATAATCCCATTGATGAGAATTTCTTCGTAAGTGGATCCATCGATGGAAAAGTTCGTATTTGGGATATTTCAGGAGGTCAAGTTGTGAATTGGGTTCATGTTGGAGAAATAGTCACTGCAATTTGTTACCGGCCCAATGGAAAGGTATTTAGTCACTTTCTGATTGTTTATGAAGAATTGATGCTGAAGGAAATCTATATGAATAATTCATGGTTCTTACAGGGATTGGTCGTGGGCACCTTGACAGGCAATTGTTGCTTTTATGATGCATCAGGTAATATTAACTTATTAGCGGATTTATAAATTCTTCTATTTGCATGTTTCATATCATTGCATGAATCATAAATACTTGATCCATATTTATACAGTAGTTCTGTCAGTGGTCGAGTTATTTTTATAACATCTGCGTGGTGTTTTGTTTTGGCAACCTTTGTTTACGGGCTATCTTTCATGGGATATGCCATCTCAATATGAAGATATATTGAGATATATGGGTAAAAAATTCATCAGCTATGTCAGCCTAGATGGTCGCATTTCTGTGTAATATAGAAAGTCTCGATCAGTTAGTTATACATTTTGATACTGATTAGTAGTGAAATATTAACATGTTTGAAATATTGAACCTTGAAAACATTTTTAATGAAAATAATTGTTCAAATTATCGCATGCCTATTTAGCAAAACATACTTTTTGATGTATATGCTGCCTGAAGATGTGACAATCAATTCTGCAGAGACAGTATTGTGTTTTAACGGCGGTTTGCTCCGTATCTTTGTTGTATAATTTTGTATGAGGTCACTTATTTCTCCTATTGTATACGTGACAGGTGACTATCTGCAAATTGAATCTCAGATATCCTTGCAACGCAAAAAGAAGTCCCCGGGCAAGCGGATTACTGGATTTCAGGTAGCTTGCAGAGAACATCAACTATTCATGCTTGGCATAAATTCTTAATTGCTCTCGTGTAATTTCTTACTTCTGTAAATTTGCTTTTACCTACAGTTTTGCCCAAGGGATCCTCAAACTTTGATGGTCACTTCTGCAGACTCATGTATTCGAGTTTTTGATGGGATTGACTTAGTCTCCAAGTACAAGGGTCTGTGTTCATCGTGTTCATCCTATCCTCTTGATCATATCAACCTCTTTTCGCAAGAAATGTTGTTGGTCCATCATCCTCACTTCTTTTACTTTCTATTTTCAGGTTTTCATAATGGCAGAAGTCAGATATCTGCTTCTTTTACCGCAGATGGGCAGCATATCATCTCTGCCAGTGAGGATTCCAATGTCTATGTCTGGAGCAGCCATGATGCCCCAGTCTCCAACCGTGTTAAGAGCAGACGGTCTTGTGAGCATTTCTTCTCCAGTAATTGTTCCATTGCATTAAGTTGGCACGGTTTCAAATCCGGAAATCGGATCTCTATGACCTCTGAGGTTTTCCATTCCCAACAAGTCAACAGTGAGCAAGCGGGAGGCACAAAAGATGAATCTAAAGGTCGCTTAGAAGATTCGAATGGCAATGACACCCTGTTTCTGTCACCTTCTCATGGTTTTGCTCTGGGCCATGAGTTCTCAAAGTTTATGCCAAAGTGCTCAGCAACATGGCCAGAGGAGAAGCTACCTTTGAACTCTGCTGCACCTAACTTGTCCAAATCCCACCACAATTTCTTGAAGACATCTTGCAGGAACACTTCCCATGCCTGGGGTCAGGTGATACTAACTGGTGGACGGGACGGATGGATCAGGTCCTATCAAAATTTTGGTTTGCCTGTACATCTATGACTGATTTGGCCAACACATGGGTATGTTGGGAGTCACCATCAAATGATCATCGCGTAGACTTTTGCTGGCACTTCTCTTCGACCAAAGCCAAGCTTCTGGCTATGACGATGCAGCTGATCCATTTGAGGATCGTACCGTACAACGGAGATCACATGCTCATTGGTCCTGCCAAAATTTGCATGGTCCCTCGCTGCGTACTTATGCTCGTGGTCCTTGAAAATCTTGGCAGCATCAACAAATCATGGTAGGCTCATGAGGTTCAAGTTCTTCCAGACTTGTGCAGTGTAGATGAGATTTTAAAGTTGATATTTCTTTTCTCCTTTGGGGTTTGTAGATATTCTCCAGTTACATTACAACAAATTGTATAAGGTATACCCGTCGCCTACTGCAACAAGTGGCAGACAGGGGGCGAAAAGAGGGGGGGTTAGAGTTACTGTTGGATAGGGCAATATGATTTAGTAAAGCTGATTCTTTCATTTGTTCAACTTTGGACATCCATTATTTTGCCTTCCTAGAGTTGCCGATTTATTGATGTGGGCATGTGGAATGTTTGTGGCCGATGTATGTGTGGCCCTCGAGCTCTTTCTGGATGGATGCTCCAGTTCTGGTTGGTGTGTGGTTGTGCTTCCATTAGAGTGAATTGAACTAAAGCCCTTTGCACTTCCTGGTCATGTCTTTCTTTGTAAATCATAGTAGCTGTTCTACATTTAGATAAAGATTCTTTGATGCCTGGATCCTTTCATTACTGCCTCAGGCATACTGATTTGGCATGGGACATGGCTGCAACTCTTTTTGTTCTTATCAATGCCAACTGTGCCTACAACTTTGGGTAGATAGTCTCTTGTTTCTTTGGACCTTGGACCTAAAGATCTTTATATTTCACCACTGAGACTCATCCTAGCTATCAAGATGATTCTGAGTACCATTCTCCCCCATCATTTTTCAATGAAAAGATTTGTTGATTAGCTAGTTTTCCAGCCTTGGATATATCTGCTGTGATTTTAGGAAGCAGTGCATTTTGCATCGAGTGCTTAGTTTCGCAAACAGAAGCAACATGAACAGGGAAACATCCCAACGATCCGATCCACGCTACTAACTCGTGATCTCCTGTGTCTCCAGCACCTACGTAGATTTATGCACCCTCAGCATCCAACTATTAATTGTCATCCTGTGCTATTGCTCGGTGTAGACTGTGAATTTGCGACTTGAACAACGACTTTAATTAGAAAACTCTTCTCCTAGACAGATTATTTGGTGCAGCAATCAACTTCTGCCCAACATTTGCAGATGTCCCACCCCCGTGCGCATGTTGTTTATTTCCTTCCTATTAAAGAAGGACGAAGCGGGGTTGCATTAGAAACGAAGCTATCGACTTTGCTTCACATGAGGTTGAAATCTTTAGGATTATAAATCTGCTGGAACTTTAACGTTTTTGGATCACTGAATGATTGCTCTGTCATGCCCACCACCAATTTAACGTCTTTTCTTCGTTAAAGAAAACGAATATATAACGAAAAAGAAAGAGGAAATCATGAAGAAGAGAAGGACAAAACGAAAGTTGAGATGGCCATTTCCTGCAGAAAAGCAACCAAAACTGGAAAGGAGATCCACCTTCCCTTCCCAGTTAACTAAACCATATCAACTACACTATACGTTGTTTGTCTGTACCTATCACACTTAAATACATCGTATATTCTTATATATAATATGTACTCACCATGATGCAGAGGACCTAACTATTGCATCATAATGGCATTGTACGGCCGCCTGCTCATCCTATGATGCACGTACAACACCTACGCTGCCGCTGTCGCTGCTGTTCCGCGGTACTTTCTTCCGTAGCCTACTCTCCCATCGGTCCGCGCCATTAATCCTTACTCTGTCCTACGCTCTTTTGTTCGCTGTCCTCGGTCAAATGTACACACGTAATGCGTCTCTCGTCCTCGCCGACGCGTCACATCTCCTCGTCTGGGCTGTCGGAGGGGAAAGCCGGTTCGGGGCCGAACCGCGGGGCCGTCATGGATTCCGACGCGCGCCACAGCCGCCCGGCCTCGTGCGGGCTGGACGCCAACGACGACGGCGAGGCCTCGTTGCAGTCCGCGAAGTACTTTCCCGACGCGCCTGCTAGGCGCGGGTGCGTCGCCACGTAACACGTCGTCGCAGCCGCCTGCGTTGAGCCGGAGCGGAGCACCGCCGTAAGTTCCTTCGTTGCCATCTCTTGCAACGGAGCATCGATGTACGAGGAGCGGGTGCACTCACCTGGGGGATGGTCTTGAGGAGCTTGGACGCGAGGAAGAAGGCCAGATCTGCCGTCGATTCCGAAGATTCTAGATCAACATCAGATCAGAGGGCTAAAAAGGATCGAAAGGGAGGTGGATCGAGGACGACCTGTGACGAGGCCTTCGCGGTCGCGGGTGAGTCTGGTGCGAACGATCCCGGGATGAACGCAGTTAGCCGTCACATCGGCGTCCATTCGCTGCGGCCAAAAGGACAACAGAGGTGGCAGTTAAAGATAGCATGATGGTCATCAACATGGGGCATGCATGTGATGGACAGAGGATCATGGGTCATGATGACGAGGATGGCGAAGCCGAACCTCGAGTCGCCCTGTCAGCTCTTTCGTGTGGTGGACGTTCGCAAGCTTCGATAGCGCGTAGGCTTGCGTGGCATCGTACCGTCTGCGGACCAGCAAAAAAAAAAAAACGGGTATGTTACGTAAATAAATAGTGAAGAGGAAAAGGTTAAGCTTACATTTTCTTGCGGGTCATCAGATCGAGATAACGGAGGCAGTCGCCGGAGAACCAGCCGTGGATGCTCGAGGAGACGTTGACGATGCGACCTTGGATCCCCGTCTCACTCGCCGTTTCCGCCATCTTAGGTAGCAGTAGCTTGGTGAGCAGGAAGTGGCCTGTCGACAAAACGGGAGATTAAACGAGCGGTCGATTGAAGAATAATCATAACAATAATGAGGTAGGTAGTTAGATGAAGACCTAAGTAGTTGGTGGCGAAGGTCATCTCGACGCCGTCCTCCGAAACGGCATGCTCGTGGGAGAACTTGCCCGCGTTGTTTCTGTTAAATTGCCGTTGGTTTCAGTAACGAATTCTTGTGACCATTCATTCCAAATCTCTAATATATAGAGGGAGGAGTACATGAGAAGGTTGAGGGGGAGGTGGAGAGCCAGGAAGCGAGCCACGAAACATCGAACGGAGGAGAGGGAGCTGAGGTCGAGAGGTAGCACGATGACGTCGGCACCGGGAAACGCCGCCGCGATCCGCGCCCTCGTCTCTTCTGCCGCCTTCAGGCTCCTCGCCGGCAGCACCAGCCTCGCCCCCCGCATCGCCAGAACCCGCGCCGTTTCCGCCCCGATCCCCGACGTCGCCCCTGCGCTCGGTAAGAATTTTTTGGTTCGCTTCCCTTTTCAGAAATACTAAGAATATGGTTCGCTTCCCTTTTCTACGTTGCTCGATCTTTGTATCGGAGGGATCACTCACCGGTTATTATCGCTGTGATGGAGCGGAGGTCAGGGGCCGCTGCCGTGACCTCCTCGCCGGTGGATCTGGACCCAAACCCGCTGGCACCGGCGGAACCAATCAGGTACTTGACCGCCTCGAGCATTTGCGTTTCTATTCAATTCTTCCCTCCTCCTCCTTCCCCTGTTATTCTCTGGTTTCCTTCGGTTCCACTTTACAAAAGATAAAAAGGAATCGAAGAGGGTTTGAATAGAGAGGAAATTAAAGAGAGAGAGAGAGAGAAAAAGAGACGGGAAGCTTTTCGGAAGGAGCTACACCCGAAGTGTCAGATACAAGTAGAAAGGCACGCACCACATTTATAGCTAAAGCAGGAAGGAGACATGTAGAAAGGTAGAACGATACCAACATTAACTCTATTATATCTCGGAGCAATTGCAATGGACGGTGGAATCTTTGGACGTTATACCAGCGTTGGCACGAGTGGGTAATAAAGTCGCGTCATGGCACACTCCTGCTCTCTTTCCTGTTACCACCTTAAACTGGGGATATGATCGAGTCAAAGGTGATGAGTAGGAGAGGAGGAAAAGAATACGGTTGAGCAGGTATTCGGCATGGATGCAAATAAAGAAGATGATATGATGCGCAACTTGTGATAAAAGTCGTGTGTTCTTTCTACCCACTTTATGGTGGTATTGCGGAATTGGTAAGAGAATCTATTGGATGAAGGAAAACGGAGAGCCTGACGGGGATTGCGGAAAGTTGATGGTGATCGGGTGAGAATGGTAACGATCAAGAGTAGGATGAGGCGGGTTAGAGCACTGCTCGATCCATGTAGTTGTGAGGACAATTATTGACAAATCACAGCACGCAAGTCTTATCTAAACGGTACGATCCACATGCCATATTCACAAGGCAATGATCTACCATAACCATGTACTTGCGAGCGTCCCAGCTGCTTAATCATCGACAGCTTGGTTTGGCTGTATGTGAGAGAATCGAGAGGACGGGGGTGGCAACTCTGTGATTTTTTTTCTGGGGTTTATGGTCACACTAGCTCGGACGCTCATTTAATATACATGTAATAGTCACTGGGGCGCACCGGAACAATCGCAAGATTCTTGCAGTCCTATCCATTTGATGCGATCAACATATAGGTTTGATTGCAACGAAGAAGAGGAGGGGCCTCCACTCCACACGCCAGCACAGAATGAGCCTGACGGAGGTACACCGTCAAGAGGAACATAATTCACCGATGGTCGCTCTCCTCGGCTCCCCCCCCCGAGTCGCGTCATGCTGCACTCCGAGCATGGCTGTTGGTGATCACATCCCCATCGCACCCTGACAACGCACCTCTCCCTGTCCCTCTCATCTCACCTTCTGGCCTTGTGCCAAGGAAACACACAGACCACCGGGTTCCCAACGAATGAAACCCATCATCACCGTATCCCTTCTTGAATTCGATTGGAGGGGATGCGGCCAGTGTTAGTCACGGTGTTTACCTGTTCTTGGATGCCTACGGCCGCAGCCTGTAGAAATGTCCGTGAAGAAGGTTAACTAGTGGTGTGGTTTTGTGTTCAGCATCGACTCCAATTCATATGGATAACTGGATTTATCTGGAGCTTCAAATTCTTTCTTATCAGAACCATCCATCCCTTCGATCGCTATTGATGATAGACTCTCGAGATGTGGCACGTGGGGCTGGTGGGTTGATGACGACCACCGAAGCACTTGGAATCTGTCATTACTAATCGAAGAAATGGAACTGCTCGAGTGGAAACTAGATTGTTTCCTACCAATTTATTATTATTTTTAAAAATCAGTAGTACTAATTTAATTAAAAACTTTATTATTATATCAGAGCATATCATTAATACTCAGCGATATAATGGTTTGTACAGGAGGGAATGACTATCATAAGTCATTTTCATCAAAACCATTTAAGATTAGGGAGAATTGAGGTGGCTAGTGAATGGATGAGTGAGCTAACCGAGAGTCATAGGATCAAAAGACGCACATATTGAAGTACAGATGGCATCTCACGAGCAACGATGAAGCTGGGGAGCATTGTCTGATTGATAGGGACTCATGCTGCTTTCTCCCAACGCTTTACACCTCATTCAACCCAGCAATTATCTTTAATGCTCGTCGTGGTCCGAGTCCCATCACCCGCCTGGACACGTCCAATCCCTGCCCTTCCCTGTGCCCAAATCGAACGTTTATGTACTGATTAAACATCATGGATATGTTTGCTTGGTAATAAAAGCGGTCTCTCTCTATATTAGAGAGGTTTGCTAGCAATGGATAGTTTATTTGGAACGCAGTTCGAAGTACAGGTCAGATATGGAGATTGAAAAGGTCATGGAGCAATTTTAGTCGAGGGGGAAACACGTGAGGCGTGGCGCTTTGTGGCAGACGGGTCAATTCGTGTCTTGGAATTGACGAGCTAAACGAATGGTAATTTTAGACTGTCAACAGTGACATCAGCTCCAATCCCTGTGTTCGTTAAATCACTCGTTTGTTAAGAGGCTTAAGATCTGCTGTCATACTGTAAGTTGCTCTCAGTCTCACCAACAAGATCGAGGCCTCCCGTGGGGGCATCGATCGCCATGTTCTTTCTTCTCTCCTGAAACAATTCAAGTACCCTCAGGTTCCATATAGTATAATAGCTAACTCAACTTGTTATTTACCCAAAGACTATGCATGAATGTGGTTCTCGTCACTTTTATTCTGGGCACAACAATGTGATCGGTGAGTACAACTACATCTGTAGGAGTATCTTTGATTTAAAATAAAGAAGGCCTTGCAGGTGACCATTCATATCACATATTTTATCCGACTTAATAACTACGACCTTCTGTAATCACCAGTTGCAGCTTCCTTTTGTTGTCTCATAGTCAAGTAGTCCTTTGTTTTTATGTGTACCTTCTCCGCACGCTCGTCAATAACATGGGAGGAGGAAGTGACGGTGGCCACCATGGTTGCGTCTTAAATGCAACCTGGTGGGCTCCTTCACCGGTGTCTCGTTGTCAAAGTCATTCGATCGTGGTTCCTAGATGTCCTCTTGCCATAGGTTCTTCGAACTTTACCACCAGCGACAGTTTGCGACATCTCCTTGAAATGTGTAAGTTAGATAAATTAGTGGTTGGATTAAGGAAAAATATTTATTTCATTTTTGATTTGATAAAATTAATGTTTTAATATATACTTTAGGGGTATGGATACTAAGAATCATAATATTGGAATATATTGTCATCGAATGCTGAACGAAAGGCGTACCAACTCAAATATGGAATTAATAATAAACATCCAAAACAAAACTATTCTTTTCTATGTCAGATTCCACACACGCCTGTATGTTTGCAGGTGGGTCTCAACTACCAAACCCCATTCAGTCATAATACATCCACATGATGCAACCACTGATCCATACATTTAGATGTTAAGTCATCACCTGCTTTCACTGCTCTAGTCTATTTAGCTTCTTTCAACATAATATCTGCAGTATATAATTTTTTTTTATGTGAGAGTATAAAGAAACTTATTGTGGAGCCAATGCGAAGAAACATTATTGAGCCCTGTTTAAAAAAAAAAAAATCACAGGCATCTTAGAGAGATGAAGACTCCCCCAAATGCAACCTCGCACTGAAAAATTGTCCCACTCTTGTTTGTCATTTTATGAAGATGCTTTTAGTATGATGCTCCAAGAGATATGGTTAACCCTACTTTGATATCATAGTGTATCCTCGCAATTTGTTTGCATCCACACATCCACCTCAATAAGCATGTCTCACCTACCTCATTTGACCAATTTCAATATAAAGAAGGGCCGAATTCATATCAACGAAAGCTATTTTTTGAACTATGTGCTAATTGGTGTCACTGTTTAATGATTGCTCGACTTCTTTTACTGGTTTGAAGACCAATCACAAGGATAAAGTTTTGCACGCTTCACGTGGAAGCACATGACATATAAAGAATACAGGGAGATGAAAAGGAGGAGCAGAAAATATATCAGGATTCCTATATTTTAGATCTTTCGATTATATATATATATATATATATATATATATATATATATATATATATATATATATATATATATTATATGTCTTTTTACAGACTGTTGTACAATATATAACATTACAAAGTATATCGATCATATACCTTATCATGATAGTAATATGTAATTAGGAACATACCTGAGCAGGAACAGTATATTGTTTCTTTCTCGTCTTTAGAGTACTCAGGTGCCTTTTAAGCTCATTGGCTGCGTACTTCCATTGTTTCCTCCTTTTTGACGAAAGAGTGGCTTTCGGAGTGGATTCTGCTTACGATTAGAGGATCTCCAGCACTACTAATTTAATTTCTTAATGAGTGGTGCAGCTCATCACCGAAGTATGGATCCAATTGAGATTATGCTTTTGGCACATTCCATAGTTTATTAGGCTTTGATTGATTACTTAGTGGGTGATGCAACAACATATTTATAATCATCTTTCCTTCCTCCAATCCCTTTCTCCTCCTCTATCATCAGCCTCATAATTCACCATTCAAGGAGCAAAGAAATGTACTAATTTGATTGATTTAGGATGTGATCCTGGACCTACTCCACTGCCCTTCCATAAACTATATGAGGTGCTATACCATTGTGCCTAACTTGGCCAACATATGGAAATCCTCATAGAATGGAAGGCAACTGCACATGTTACACGATGAGAGAGATAATGACTAGGAAGTGCTTCTTTACTCGAGAGAGCACCTTACTTCGCCAAATATTCTTTTAAGTTAGGGCTTAACCATCATGCCATGTTTCACTCGCTCGTCGTCTAGTGACAAAGATCTTCCTCGATCGTCGGCAAATCACGTAAAACTGGTTTTCCCTTTCGTGCTTCTTATTCTAATGGAGTTGTTGATAGCATTCCTTGTCTATCGGTGCACTGCATTTAAGTACTGTATCTAAAAGAAAAGACGATCTCCATTTTGTTTGCTCATCTCATAGTTTGTCTTGGAGTTATTTCTTTTAATGTAATGGTTGTCTCATTCTACTTTGTCCAACCTTGGATTGTCCCACGTGCGTATTGCGTTAAAATTTTTATTAGTATCATGTCACCTAAAAGCTTATGCCAATATTAATATTCCAGCATTGCTGTAACTTTATATTCACTATATATATATATATATATATATATATATATATATATATATATATCCAATCATTTGTCAATGGAGACTGATCCATCTGTCGCCTCTTTGGTATAAGATGGTGATTAAGGCTGCTTAGTAGTATTTTGGGTTTCCCATGGGCAGGCCGAACCGAGCTTAACTGGATATATATTGCAGTATAGGCCTCATCTTAGCCCATCTCAGATCAGAAGTTTGGGCCCATGACATTGGCCCAAACCAGCCAATTTGGATTCCTTAAATCAAGGATCAAATGACCAATTAAAACACTTTGCCGAAGACAAGTCGGTAAAAAATATGATTGAATATTTATTTGATTAGGAATGTATACCATACTACATATTGCAATAAATTAAATTGTGATTTATTGTTGTTATTATTGATCAGATGCTGTGATGTTTGATATTAGCAAACGATTTTTATAAATTAAAAATACGAGCAAGAATATATACCTTCTGATTTGACAAATGATGTTATCATATATATATATATATATATATATATGTGTGTGTGTGTGTGTGGGCGCGCGCGCGCTCGCGATTTCCTTAATAGACGAACACCGTCACGATTTCCTTTCTCCGTTATAAAGTCACGGAGTTAGTTAGCCCATGGACTGTAGCCCATGGACCATTTTCACGGACTCCGCTTCCCACACATCCCCGCCTCTCTCTCTCTCTCTCTCTTGTTTGAGACGGTCTCTCCGGTTCGGAGGCATCGGTGGAAAGAAGGCTCCTCCCGCCTTGTTGAACCCACTCCTCTCTCTGGTTCTTATCAAGCGGCAGTCCCGTCTTGGGCAGGCGAGAGCTCCTCGCCGTCGTCGCCATCTCGGAGGCTCTGCAGCGATTCATGTTTGTATGTGGGAACACGAGCGCCTTCTTGGGGATTTCCTTTCCACTGATGTGGAGAGGGGCTTGCGATGATCCTGGTTTATGTTCTTCCTCCCCCTAATCTATTTGTTGGAGAGTATGCTTCTTGGATTCTTCTTGTTTGTTGATTCTTTTCTTCTGGGGTTGTCTTCGTGAATCAGCCAAGAAGACTCGGGAGTTGGATGCCGCTTTGTCTGTGGTGAGATGGCGAAGGATACTTTGGACAAGGGAGCGCAGGTATGACTAGTTGTCTTCTCGCTGTTCTCCTACATTTCTTGATCTTCGTTTTCGCCATGATGATGAAAAATCTCCCAGGAACAGTAAATGAATACTCATATGTTCTGGTTGTTGCCTCAGTATGATGCTTCGGTTGCAGTTGAATTCCAAGAAGTCCGTCTGCGACTTGCTTGTAGGGTTTCTTACGTCTGTTTAGAAAACAACAGTCCGCAGAATAAGATCAAGGCTTGGGTTCAATAAAATGCTCTAAAAGAAAAGAATACTATCTGTCCTTTTCTTCCTCCTCGAGGAAAGATCTACAGTAATCAAATTCATGTTCTACATATATATGATTTGTGTTTGCCATCCATTTTAATCGGTCATGAACCCATTTCAAATCCATGTCCATATGCATCCGTCTCGTCGTACAGACCGTCTTGATTATAATTTGTCGAGTCAATTAACTCGATCCGGTGTAGGTTCGGCATGCGTCAGAAGGTTTCCGGTTCGCTCGACCCAGTTTTCCGCCCGAGATCGACCATAAGCCTGCACAGAAATCGTAGCTCTCGCCGCCACCATAAGCCTGAACAAGAGATCCCTCCTCTTGTTCGCCGGCCTCTCTTTCGTCCAAAACCCTAACCCACCTCAGATCTTTCCTTCCAGAATGGCTTGCGGCCGGAGAACCCTCACCTCCAACTTCACCCATCTCACCCGCCGCTTCCACCCGTCCTTCGCCCACATCCTCCGCGACGACCGCGAATACACAGAGCCCTCAAACCCCCTGCCTTTGCCCCCAACTCCATCCCGTCGCCACGCTTCCTCCTCTGCCCCATCTGTCTCCGGATTTGGCAGGTGGAGAAGTCTTGGCTTCTCTCTCCCGCTCGGCCTCGAACCCGGCCTCCTTCGGACCTACTCCTCGGGCGCAGAGGGATCGAATGAGATCAACTACATCAAGGATGTCGCGGAGGTTTTGTCGGACAGCAGTTTGGAAACTGCTACCGTGGCCGCTGCGGCGGTTCCGACTCCTTTTCCTGGAGAGGTAGCAGCTGCGGCGGCTGATTCGTTCCTCCCCGTGGCAGCTCTGCAGCACTTGATTGATGCAGTCCATTCTTTTTGCGGTCTGAACTGGTTGGGTCCTTCACCCGTCTTTCCTTGATATTAATTAACGATAAGGTGTGACAGGAAGTGATATATTTTCTATATATATATCTCAGGTGGGCTTCTATTGTTCTGACAACCCTCTTGATTAGAGGGGTTACCGTCCCACTTTTGTTGAATCAAATGAAGGCCACGGTGAAGCTCAACGTAAGTGAGTTGTAACTTGTCGTAGCTTCATGTTTTTTCTGATTTCTCTTTTATTGATTGGTGATTTCCATTGTCTTTTGGAGATTAATGTGCTATTTAGAGTTTAGAAGTCTTGTCTTTGGCTTTTTGATTTTGGCGTTTATGGTCAATCAACATGCGAAATCTGATTGACTGTGCTATCTATGCTTACCTCATCAACTAATTATTGAGTTGTTGTATAATTAAGTTTTGTCAAATTAGCACCCTTTTTTTATGTTTGACGCATATTCCCAGCACATTTTATAAGCAAGTTCTAAGTCCAAGTATGCTATGTGGATCAAAGTGTTAGGTAGTTGGAAAACACACAAAAAATTATGATGAAACAAGAGTGTTGAGTTGGATGTATGGGGTTACTAAAAATGAGACACTAAGAAAGTATTTTGCATTCGTGATAATCAGGGGTTGTGCTGATTAAGGACAAATTATTTTAGGTGGTATGAATTTGTCTAAATGAGATCTATCGATGCTCTTCTTATATGAGGTGAGTCAACTGGATCAGTTAGTGCTAGGACAAGTATATGAAGATCTAAGTAAACTTGAGCAGAAACATTAATAATAAGCTTTAGTTGCTTTGTCCTCGATAGAGCCTAGTTGCAGGAAAATATAGGCTATCCAACATTTTGGTACCTTATGTCTTGTTGTTGTTCTGTAATAGCCTTAGGAGAATGAGACAGTGAGGAACATCTGGACAACGTGGGGATTTTTAACAGATGCTCTTAGCCATAGTCTTATCATTGCCACAGCATTGGGCTATGGCAATATGCCAACATATATATTGAGAAGGGACTGCCAATGGCTTCTGTCGGGTTGTTTTTTGTTCTAAGAATTCATCCTATAAATAAAGACATATTTCTTGTGTTTTCAGAAATGCTGTTGAAAAAATTGTATTAGTGAGTTGGAGCTGTTTGATTGAGTGCACCGTAGATATCAATGAAAACCATAATATAATATGAAATGTTATAAATAAAGAGTGTAAAGGTGATATAACATTTTTAAAAAGTTCAAAACACCCAACCACCAAAGTGTAACATCAACGACACACCTCCACCAGATAGTGACCTTCACTTCACTTTGTTAACATTTGATAACTATATTCAGTTCTTTAACAGAGCACCAACTCATTTTCTCTAACGACTACTCACCATGTCAGCTGATAGCATGACATAGTTTTTGACCCTTAATATTTGACACATATCCATCAAATAATTCTTTTCTTACCTTCTTTAGTTTTAACACATTATTGTTTTTCCATTGACAAGTGTAGTGTGTACTATCTTGTACTTTCTAATATCAGGTTATCACACTTTTTTGCAAGTAACCTTGTAGTTACTAAAAACTTGAAATAAATTTCTATTTTTCCATATTTTTTGGTTGCAGGTGATGAGACCGGAGTTGGAACAGCTAAAGGAACAAATTAATGTATGTTTTTACTCCCAAACATGGATTCACTGCCTAATCTATAGAATGAACCATATTCTGAATCTTTTGTAACATGGATATAGTTTAATCATCACCGACGTAGCTTGATCTTAAATTTGATAGATGCTTTTGGTCAATTGCTGCTACTTGATTTTTTTCTTTGTTTTTTATTTATCCTTTTTTTCATTATGCACTTATTTGATAATCTGCTGCAGTCAATGGATCCCGAATCAGTGCAGGAGGGTCAGAAACAAATGAAAGCTTTGTTCCAAAAGTACGTTTCTGTTAGTGAGGGCCTTATTTTTTCATCACTTGTTCTGTCTTTCGTTCCTCTGCTATAGGAAGAGGTTCCTTACTTTGCTAAATTAGCATCATGCTTTGGAATACAAAAAATGTCATATTCTTTTTTTATAGTGCACAGCACCACATGAAACTTTGTCATTAGTGTAAATCTTAGAATTATGTTAACATGTTAGTAGCAAAATGTGAAAAGGTGATGGATAATTGAGCATAAATGTACAGCAACAACAGTGCGTCAGCTAATGAGAACTGTGTTGCATAACCTGACCACCTATCTGGGTCACTGGTTTCCAAACTAAAGATTTGACAAGTTGTGGTCAAGCAAGTTGCACTTAATTTGACAACTTTATAGTGGAGGCTAGAAATAGGAGAATCGCAATAAGAAAAGAAGAGAGAAATATGACCTATTTGTGATGGTAGCCATTATTGAAACTTTAGCTTCTAGTGCATGGTGATAAACAGAGAAAGGACTTCTAGTTATAGGTTGCTGGGAGGCATATAAACAAATTTCTTTTGGGATTTGGGTATGTTTGAATTGGAATCAGTTACTAAGTTTCCTAACTGGAGACAATACCTGTATTTTGAATTTGCCGGAGCGGAAGAGTTTTTCTAGTCCAGATGCCCTTTCTTGGCTTAAAATGTAGTGGCTGAAGAGGGAAAGAAAAAACAAAAAGAGGGGGATGATTGGCAATTGGCAGGCATTGATGATGATTGGTCCAGACCTATGGTGACAGTTCATCTATTTTTGCAGATGTCTAGTCTTGCAATTTAGGGCATATTCCTGTGAAAGTTGCATGCGGCACTGTATACCTTGTTGGTACCATTATGCCACCATAACAGGATATTTTCACACACACACACACACACACACATAAAGTAATCTCCAATTCTAGTTACATTCCTTGACAGCTGCATTTTCTTGACAACTTGTAGGCCAATGGTAACTTGATAAAACTAAAGCGTTAATTGAACGGGCATTCGCCTTAAAACTTGATCCAAGGTGGTCTTAAACCTGATTTTGGATTGGAACTTATACTCTGCAAACTTTACACTGTTTTACTAATATTGAAAGAAAATTGTTCTTAAAAATATTTCATAATTCTACTTTTAAAAATATTTTATAATACATTTAGTGAGACTACTCTTCCACAAATCCTCTTGATGCTGGTTCTCACCTTGCTGATGGTAAGATGAGGGATTGAGAGATCTCAGATTATTTTGAAGCAAGCCCTTAGCCTAAACCATATAAAGTTTTTGACATGGCTCCAACCTTTTAAAGTATTAAAACAATCAACCAAGTTGATTGATTCAAGTTCTGAAATTGCTCGAGCTCAAGAAAAGGTCAAAAAGGTGTGTTCAATATTATATTTGTAATATTTATTTTCCAGAATGCAAGTAAATGCACTTTTTAAATGAGACATGTAATCAATGTGTTCAATATTATATTTGTAAACCTTGAAAACTAACTGGAGTTGAATTAAGTTTCTGATTCATGGGCATGTATTGAGTAAATGAATATCTCAGCAGCTACAAGAGTTCAAGAATGCTGATTAGGTGGCAGTTTGTCAAATTTGATATTTTAAAACCTATATTGAAGCAAGATTCCATACCGGCAACCACATATGATGGCTATTTGTGCTATTACAGTTTTTTGTGCTTAATTTCTTTTATCTGTTCATTGATTTTGTTAAAGTATGAAAAACACAAGTAGTATATAGACTTGGACTCAAGGTTATGCTATAGTTTAGCTACATATAATAAATAATAGGGCTGATGTCACATAGTGCATAAGTTTCATGACAAATCGTGTAGTGCCATGGCTTGTTTCTCATGAATATTCAGTTTATCAAATTTTCATTTTTTGCCATGGGTTTTCATGAATATTCTTTGGTTTATTAAACAGTGAACTTGTTTTCTCTTTAGATGCCATTGTCTAATTGCTTATTATGTGCTTTTTGTTGGTGATTCTAGGCATGGGATTACACCATTTACTCCATTGAAGGGACTTCTTATCCAAGGGCCAATTTTTATCAGTTTCTTTTTAGCTGTAAGTTTATTGACCTCATTTAAGGAAGTTTTTTGTTGTGGGAACTACTTGATATATACTTGGCATGGCCACATTCAACCTTTAAACTTCTAATGCTTTACAGATAGGTTAATTTGTTTTTGTTTCCTATAGATCTCAAACATGGTTGAGAAAGTTCCTTCTTTTAAAGGAGGTGGGGCATTTTGGTTTACTGATTTGACAACGCCCGATCCTCAGTACATGCTTCCAGCGCTAACGGGATTGACCTTCTTAGCAACTGCGGAGGTAACTTCCTACAATGCCTATCATTACATGGAAAGTATGTTAGTGGATAATTAATTGGACAACTTAGCATTTTGTTGACTCATATGTATCTGAATTATAAAATCTGTTGTTTAAGTGTAATGTTTTATATGTAGTCTTTGTGACTGGCTTTTCTCTAAATCTTACATATAAGTTGTCAATTGGTCTAAGAGGGACATTTTGGCCGGCCAAGTTATTGGGCTTTCTTTTATGTTTTCTAGTTCACTCTTTGTCAAGATAAGGTACATATACTTCTTGCTTGACTGAGACCTTTGTTGATTGGTACAACTTGTGCCAGCATGTTATTTATTTATTTATTTCCAAAAACGAAAAGAAAGGTATCTTACTGTGTCAAATGAGTTTATAGAGTGCCCCTAAGATCAGAGCATATCAATATTCAGTTCAAGGGGGAACTTTATATATCTTATTGATCCTACTGTGTGTGGGAAAGTTAGCTAGCCAATCAGCTGATCGATTTTCCTCTTTAAATACATGTGTGGTTCTATGTTCGACAAACATGCCCAAATTATAGCATAAATTTTTATTTTTGATCAGAGATTCTACGTCTATCTCCATTGTATCATTTGCACCCTCCTTTCTCACACATACGGCAGGCCTTCTCTAATGGCAAATGCTTCATTGAATATAGTTGGCCTATTCCTTGTGTATCTGCACCCAACAAACAGAACAAACCCATTATTGTCATGGATAATGTAATTAAGCTTTCTAATTTTATTTGTTTTCTTGCCCTCCACCTTCAATAGTATCTACCTCTGTCTGAATGGGATAAAGTAATCTTCATTGAATATAGAATCTTCTTTTGTTTGTGTAATCTCAATTTTATATTGTTTTTCATTTCGAAACAAAATCAGTATCATGGCTCTCCAACTTTTCTTTGGTCTTTGTTTGTTGGATAATTGATTTGATATGGTTATCCTGAGGCCAGTGAGGTATCTTTCTACACGTCCGAGTGTCGTATGGGTTCTTTGGCATAGTCATGGGCTTAATTTGTGGGTCACAATGTGGTTTTTATGGTCCATGTTGATCCTTTTTTGGGTAGCCTCAAAGGATGAAACATTAAAATTTGATTTGAGTAGAATATTTTTGTTAGTTTGGCTTTGTATGATTCTTAGTTCTAGTTTAGGCAAACTGAGGTAACTTTCTGACCATTCAGCTTAACATGCAAGAAGGAATGGAAGGAAATCCTATGGCGAATACCATGAAGAACTTCTCCAGAGTTCTTGCATTTATGACCGTCCCGTTTACTGCTAACTTCCCAAAGGTAATACACCTATTGAAATATTGTTAAAACTTAAATACATCTAAAGTTTTATTTATTTTGATGAAAGTGTACACTTACCATTTGCCAAAAAAAGAAAGTGTTTTATTTATTTTGGTTCTGAATGAGTTCAAAGCTCGAAATCCCGTTAACTGCTGTTATACCATGATGCCATCTTTTGAATTTTATTTATCCGTGTAGTGATGTTCTAATTAACATTTTGTCTTTTCCAGGCCATCTTCTGTTACTGGATTACGTCAAACCTTTTCTCACTTGGGTATGGTTTTGGTGAGTTGTATAAAAGCCAGCCCTTTCATGTAGTTCTGTTTTCTTTATGATCCTTTGTTGCTTCTCTGCCATTACAGGTTTGGTAGCCAAACCACATAAATATAATTTGTTTTTTGACTTGTTGACAGTGCTTAAACTTACACGGGTGAGGAAGTTCCTGAATCTCCCTGATTCAGTTCCTGAACCCACCAAATCTGCAGCTCAACCAAACTTTACCTTGTTTGGTGCATCCAAGCCAATCTTACCGGCAGCCTCTCCAGTACCACCAGCAAAGGACTCCGGTCAAACTAACACACCTGCCAGAAGGCTATCTTCATCTTCTGTAATCAGCCAACGGATAAGAAACCTAGAAAAGACGGTAAAGGCTAGAAATAAACATAAGAAAAAGTAAAACCTGCAAAGCTCATGGAAATTTTTGGCTACATAATGGAGGGTATTTCAGCATGCAAACCGTTCATACCGGTGTTATAATAATTAACAACTAAATAGAAAATAAAATTCTTGATATTGAATTATGCTTTAACCGCAAGAACTACTTGTATGTGTGTATTATCCTCAACCTCTTTAGTGGAGGATAGCCGTGTGGGAGATGTAGGCAACTTTTTTTTTTCTGAAAGAAGAAATTTTGCTTGGGCTCATTAGGAATTGAGCAGATTGGGTGATCAGTCGATTTGGTACTTCGTTCTTTTGTCGTTTGAGAGTTTGTACGTCTGTACATTTGTAAAATTTCTTTTTGGCGTTTGACAGCCTTTCATGATTTTACTAAAATTTGTCAGGAACACATTATTGTATTATTCAGCACAATAAGTCACTTTTGACGGTGATTCTTGAACAGGAATGGGTTATAGACATGACGAAAATGGATTGATTTGGCCTTAAGACAATAGCAGTAGTTAACATATGGTTAGCTATTGAAGTTCTAGTTTATTAGAACATACCAGGTGTTTTCCAAATAACAGTTGCCGAACAGTGTACGCATACTGCCTTCAGGATGCTCCTGGCATATCGATAAAATGTGTTCTTTCTCAGTGACTGCATTCAGCGCCTTCGCTAGCATGGCAAAGAGAACAAGCCTTTTCCAAATTTTCTGCATCCAGAAAGTAGAGGACCCAGACGTCTAAGATGACTAAGTTCACATCTGAATGTTACATGAGTTACCATAATCGAACAAACTTTACTATAGTCAGCTGAGAAGTCTGAACGATCATTATGATGAACAGTTTATATTACAAACTAGAAAAAGAAACCACAATCAGAAGTTAGTTGCTGCTAAGTAAAAACTTATTCAGTATCTCACTTGTGAGCATATCCATTATTTACCAGCCGGTATACGCTCACCACACCGCTCCCAATTCGACCAGTAATAGATTCTGAATAACTGGTTTGCTTTTTTTTTCTTTCTAAGAATCCTTTTCTGTAAATATACTTTAGTCATGATATTACGGTATGATAATGCTACCCACCACTCCCCTTTTAAGATCAGAATAGTTACGAAGCCCAGGGAGCGAGGCCCCAAAAAAATGCTGAAGCTGGTGGTACAACCAACCCAAGTCTGATAACTCATATATAAAGAGGCTCACCACATATATAGTCAATCCATCAATATGTAAATTCATAATTACACATCGATATATGTAAAATGAATCATATTCCCTTTTTACGCTCCATGACAATTTGCATCAGTAGCAATAAAATAGGAACTAAATTCCGACAACACATCTACAAAACTATAACAGCTCTATCCAGTACGTACTTCCTTGTATCACTAGCTCCTAAAAAGGTTGATTGCACGAAAATACAAAAATTCTGAATTAATATTTTCATCTCACAGAGGCCATGTCGGCATAAAGCACGGAAGCTAATCATTCATACCTTGTGCAACGCAAGAAATGAGCATTGACAACAAGAATGACTAAAGAAAAGCATCCATAAATACCGCATGTAATGCTATGATGATGCATATCATACATGAGGCAAATACGAGTACATCTCGACAACCAGAATGAAAGCGGCGATATTTGAGAAGGCTCAGCTGAAACTGATTCTGGCCCCCCCAATCTGCACCTATTCTTTCTCTAACACTCCTCGCCGACTGACCATCAAATAATATGACACGAGAATGGAACAACCAAACAAGACACGGACCAGAAATGATAAGCAGATACCAAAGTCTCGAGGCATAGGCAGATAGGCAAAGAAGGGTACATCACTTTTGTACCTGATGAGGCACGCCTGACCGCATTGTAAGCATCATGGTGTGATCCATGATGGTATTATACAAGAAAACGTTCTTGATCGTAGCATTCATGCAGCCGTGTTTCATGATAGCATTGCAAACTCATGAACAAAACCCCCCTCCCCCCAGCAAACATATCTCAAGAACTTAGAAGCACGAGTAGATGGGCTTAGCGGGGTAATTCGAATGAGAAATGTCTAATCACGGTATCACATGTGGTATACAAGACAAGAAAACATGCTTGATCGTAGCACTCGTGCAGCGGATGTCTCAAGACAAGAAAGCAATGAGAAATCGTGAACAGAGCTAATATCCTTACCATGATCGGGTAATCCAGCCCCTCCCCCCTCCTCCAAGGACACCTCTCAGAATCTTCTCAAGGGTCGAAATCTCCGCCTGAGATCACACCAAAAGGACTCCAAGAACCGAAACCAAAGCAGCGACATCCAAGAACCAAGAAACGAAAGCTCGGATTAAAGGTTCCGGATCCCACCGCGTAAGGTCATCACACCAAGAACTCCAAGAACCGGAACGAAAGCAGCGAAACAAGAAACGAAAGCTCAGCGGAAACATACCGGATCGCCGCAGCCATATCCAAGTCGGCGCCAGCCAGCCAGCCAGCCTAGACGAGGACGGCTGTAGGAGACGCGTCGAGAGGAGTCACCGACGGCGGCCATACCGCTGCAGAAGAAGACAGGATTGATCCTATCCGCCGACGAGTGGAGGCAAAGTGCTCCAAGAAATGCCCTCCTCCTCCTCCAAAGAGACGAATTCTTGGAGGACTACCGGAGGCAAAGTGCTCTAAGAAACGCCCTCCTCCCCCATCCAACGAATTCTTGGTAGGAAGTTTAGAGGACGATAACAGAACATATAGAACCTGCCGGACCCGTCATTTTTATTCATTACAGATAATAAACACACACGTTTTAACAAATATAATAATATTAAATAACAAAAATATTAGCTATACTTACTTGCATGATATTAAAAGGAAATAAGATATCGCCGATAACACAGAAAATTTAAAGGTCTCTTATCCGAGAGCTATACCCAGAATTGGTAAACTGATTTAAGGCTACTGAAATCCGATTCGACCAAATTGACTCGGGTCGATCAGTACTGAAAATACCATTCTACAAATAAATGCTAGAACAGATTATGGAGTTTGAAGCAGGTGCTCACCTTATTTGACAGTGAAATGCTGAACTGGAGAGAACAATATGAAGCAACACCAATAACATTGTAATTGAAATGAGGAACAGAAAGAAACTGATGCTGAACACTACTTTTATTCGTGATGAAGCGTGTTTCACATCATAGTTTTATACTATTGACACAAATAACATATCATTCATGAACATTAGGCACACAACACACAAAACATGAGGTTTCTGTTTCTTTTTCTTTTGCAATCATACAGAGTCCACTTCGAATTGCGAGCTAAGTAGGCAAATAACAAACATATTGCATAAGCAGGCATCATCTATACCTCCTCCCTTCCGTGGTTGTTGTTCTTTATTATGTTAAACTTGCAGAGCGGGCAAGTCGCATTTATGTGCAGCCATTTATCTATGCAGCCGCAATGGAAATGGTGCCCGCATGGGAGTTCACGCAGCTCTACACCATCCTCGTAGGTACAGAGGCAGATGCAGCACTCCTGCAGGTAGAGGAGACAGATTGGTGGCATTGGCTTTCATGCAAGAAAATAAAGCTCATAATTTCAAGCTATCAAATTAACAAAACAGATATAACCCAAACAAATCAACAATAGAATATAACTACATACAATATTTTGGATAAGTTAACATCGATTGGTTCCCTTGAAATATGTTGAATTTAAAATGGATAAAATCTCATGAAATACCGACACTGACTGCAAAGAGGCACTCGAAACAAAGTGAAATATCTGTCCAAAGCTTTGGATGATATCACTTCCAATGACAGTACCAAATCATGGTCAAACTTACATACTGTTAGGAGCTTATATAAACAATCAGATGACATTGGTGGGAGAAGGGTACTCAAATCAAACTAATACTAATCTGGAGTGTAAAGAGTATTACAGGCACTCTAAAACATGCAAGTTGCTGACGACGAACAAAACTGTGGTGATGTAAACTGCATCAAAAGATTACAGAAACCTCTCTTTCTTGGAAATGTTTTCATGTTTAGTAAGTGTAAAGTAAGACGCAGAGGTTCACAAGAAAAGTTGGATGAAGAGAAGTCCCCATGATTACAGTACTAATAGCATAAAGACTCTTCATACAGAGGAGCCCTTATTTTTTACATCATTATAGTGCTAATAAAATAAAGATGATCCATGAGAGCTTAACTGTAAGTGACAAATAGAGTAGAGAGAACACCAGGTCTTAGAAAAACAAAAAAATTAAGATATTAACAGAATCAACCAGTAGTAGTATCTTCGCACTTACAACTCTCATTGAGATCTACAAGTATTTAGAGAATTTTACTTACTCTGAATTCTTAGGTGCCTGACTAATAATAAATCCATACATGATTAAGCAAAGTAACTGGAAGTAAAAAATGTAAATCTTAAGAGTAGACAGACAGGAAAGCTTACAGCATCGTCTGCTGAAAGAGTGCGCTCAACGGGTGGATCACTGCCACACTCTGTCATGATTCCACCAAAAGGTCCTGAAATCTCATCAATTTTTTCAGAATCTCCAATCTTACGAAATTTGTACTTTGAAAGTTGGCTTATATCATCTTCAGATGCCCCTTCCTGTCTTGGAAGTGAAATGAATGCATCACATACTAGACATCATAAATTCATGGATTGAGCTGCCACACTACTGCACCATATGCTCCCATCAACCACATGGCATATTGGATATTGTTTCTCATGCCTCAAAATATAATCCAAGAACTACGATGGCACAGCATGCCATAAGTACCACAGAAAAAATTGTAGATATGGCCAGCAGACACAACATGCAGCATACTAATGTACACCCTTGTCATGATGGTAAAATAAATCTCCATATCCCCCATTAGTAATTACAAAAAAACCAATTATCGGACAGATGTTTAGAAAAATAACCCATGTAAAGCTGGTCCAGCAGTTAGCATTACAATAATTTGAATATTTTATTAAAAAGGTATTGGACAAGGAACCTCATGTGCCATAAAAAAGGCAAATTAATATAAGATGGAGAACACGTCAATGAAACTACAAAGACTATTGCCTAACAAGAAAAGTTAGGCGTGCAAGAAAAACAAAAAAAACACTAATGATAATACCATAACAATGAAGTATTAACTGGGGTTGGCGCCTGTTATTTTACTAAATCAGATCCAGATCATACAATTACCACATAAATGACAACTGCAACAAATTTAAGAGATAAGGGCATCTATTAATTTATTCCAGTTACATACAATAGTTTATTTTTCAATCCTTATCTTCATTATGGATGAAATTACTCTGACAAGAAAATAAATTTTAGGTCTTAACAAATTGCTCCAAGTCACATTCATCAAGCAAAGGCTGTAGATACAACATTACAACATGATATAGATATGAAAGCATAAAGGTGGCACACCTGATCAGCAATGGCATACAAAATCGCAATGATGCAAGGCAGACAGCAGCAAACAGCTATGCCAATCACACACGCCAAAGCAACGCAGAAAACGACAAAGAACACGTCAAACGCCAGAAAAACTATGCACAGCCTGCAAACAAGAAAGGTGCATAGTTATTCAATACTAGAGTTTAAAAATGACAAGAAAAAAATATCTATATTTTAGCAAAACCAGTAAAGTTGGGGTGCATCACGGGTCAGCGCTTGGCCTCCAGCAGATACCCAGTAAAATCCAATAATCCACCATATAAATGAGAACATTGTATTTACTGATTCCAGATGCTTTATACAACTGCCAAAACAGGTAACGAAAGACGTGATCAAAAAGTAAGCATGGTATTCATGATTAAAAGGACATACAAACTTGAGATAGTCTTGTATCCCTAAAAGATACAAAGGTTAAGCATCTGAAGACATACAAATCTAATAATTTACAAGGGACATTTATTCCTAACTATGGCCCTTGTCCTCTTAGAGTGGGGATCTATTTGCAATACAAGTGTTAGAGTTAAATTGCAACACGGTGCAGCTTACAGCATCAAGACTTGCCATTCCAGCAAAAATAAAGTGGCAAGTTATAGCAGACATCATATATCAAAATTTAGATAGATGTAAATTATTAACTAAGTTAATAAATTTACTTCCATATTTTTAAGTCTTTTAAAACTAAAAAAAATCTATGCAGCAATCAGGTGATAATTGCATGTATGGCTACTACGAAGCAAACACATGCGGTAGGATATTTCATTGCCTCCTCAGCATATTTTGGAAGCGACAATTAGAAACAAAGCATAGACAAAGGCAGCCAATATATGGGATTCCTATCACTTTACAGATAAAGGAGAGTCAGATATACGTGGTGATACACCTCTCTGAAAGGGTATTTTTTCGTGATTCCGACCAATTGCAACTACCGTCAGACTAGTCTTCTAAACAATGAAAACAGAAAAGAACATTAAATCAGAGAGACACTAGACCCTTTATCTTTCACAAATCCTAGTTCATACAGCTTCAGATATATTCAGGAACACATATTTTACATTCTGTATTGCTATTCCTGCACCAAAACTGCCTTTTGGAGCTCTATTTTAAGCAATCAGCCCTTAAACTGATCAAACTCAATTCAACCATGACTATAGAAAACAATAAGAATGGTTATAGAGGACCAAAATGTGACAAAGAATACATGAGTGAAGAATCAATGAAGACCAAGAAAATAGATTTTTTTTTTCTTTACTCTCATGGTTTTTTCACGAACAAGCAACAAAGCCCCAGAAAGAAAAGAAAGAAGTTGATATCTGGGAACATTATTATCCTGAAATGAGGTTTGGAAAATGCATTGTTTTCACGTTTGAACATTTCCGTATTTTGAGGCTTCTCAGTTCACTGGTATCAATTTATGAAACTGTTTCTATGGAAGGATAAAAAATCATAATAGAATTAGTCTCACAATCAAAATGATCTTTTACAATAACAAGTCATGCCAATTACCAGACAATAAAGTTGGATATGTCAGTCTCTTTGTCCAGTTACTCATGTTGAATCACATAGTACATGTCATTCCTACAATCTTCTTGCCATACCATAAAGAGAATCTAACATACTGAAAGATAGCCCATGCAGCGCATATCCTAAGGTGACAACCGATGTAAATTACAAGATAATAATAATAATTGAACATTAAAGGAAACAAGCATACCTTTTATTCAAAATCAATAGAAAACCACCAATATATAAAATGATTCTATGTGCATGCTATAAAATGATTCTATGTGCATGCCCATAACAAGAAGGGGAAAAAACTCTAATAGTTTGTTAGCATTATAGTATAAGCCAACATTTAAGCCCCTTACCTAGGATTATCATCGTATCGGCCTTGCTCATTTTCTGAAGCTTCTCTCACCCGCCTTGGTGAATTTGAAGCCGAGCTCCTTCCACTCCCACCCTCTTCCTCGTCCAAAATAGCTCCCCCGCGTAAGTGCCTCCGCCGGTACTCAATACAAACACAGACCATATGAAGCACGCACTGCAGCGCATACCCCACGATCCACGCTCGAAGAGGCATCAACGGCGTCTCATTCCGGCTCAGGACGAGCACCCCAACGGCCACGCCCACAAACGCCAAGTTCCAGAGGATGTCGAGGAACACCACGGGCTTGGAGTAAGCCCAGTCGGTCTGCCGCTCCTCCAGATGCTCCGCCGCCGTCTCCCGCACCATCATCGATGGCTCCCGCATCATTTGCCGGCTGCTCGTCCGGCGGAAGAACCAGGCGGCGCGGAGGAGTCCACCGCGCCGCCCGGACCGTCTGCCGCCGTTCTGGGTGCCGAGTAGCGGAGCAGCGTCGACGCTGGCGTTCCCGCCCGGGTTCGAAGACCTCGCCGTCGCCATCCTCAAGATCGACGAATTGTAATCGGAGAAGGAAACCCTTGCCCTAGCCCTAATCGATCCGATCCCCTCGAATCATGATCCGAGACCACGAAACCCTAAGCGAAACAAAGGGAGGAGAGCCTTCGATTTAGATAGAAAGGAATGAGTGGATCGCAGTAACGCCAAGAAGAGCGACGCGAAACCGTACCACCTTGAACGTGACCGGCCGTGTGGCCAAAGAATTGTTGACACGTAGCCGTAGCAACGTACAGAACTCCCGGGTCGCGGAGCACTGGAACAGCTTAATTCATGTGCGGTGTATGAAATCAATCGTACACGTCGCGGTGGCTGAAGCGTTACTTTAATCACTACATAAACAGTTACTTAATTACCAAATAATGGCAATTTCTGAATGCATCAGTGGATTAATTATCACCATACTGCATCAAACCTTTTGATGTCCCAATTATCGATCAATGCAAAAAAACAAAAAAAAAAGTTATATATAAGATCGATAATCATTTACGACTTAAAATATTTTGTCGAGATTGAGATTTATAATTATTTAGTTAAAAATATTTATAATTTAATTAAAAAAAATTATTTTTATTTATAATTTTTGATAAAGGTGTTTTTCGATGGTGACGGGTGGATGGCTGCCATGAATCAAATGAGCCTCGTGATTCTGCTATATTGGCAGTCACCACCACCACAGCAGACTGTTTCAGATTTCTTGGATTCTTCCATTAAAGTATGCCTTCTTTTTCTTGCACAGATGAGACCATGACATGGATCATGTTAAGACTGTTGCATCTATTTCTTGATGTTGTGCACAGGTACAAGGCACAGCATCGGTTGAGGAGAAATAGACCTGTTATGGTTCATTTCTTATGTAACAACAATACTATCTTGGATTCCTTATTATGATTGGTTCGATAGCACTAAAAGATAGATACATGATAGTTATTTAAAGAAATTGACCTGAAAATGTAATCAAAATAGAATGAAGTTACTAAAAGATTAAATTTAAGTTGAAAAATAATTTTAATTTGAGATAGTATTCTATTTAATTCAATTATATTAGGTGTTAAACTCGTCGGATGAGTGGCTAAGTGGATTTGGTATACTGTCACAATGTGTCAAAAGAAAAGAAATATGAACCTAAACTAAAATTTGTGTTTGTGTTCGGTCCGGATATGGATACGATCCACTAATTTTATACATACTTTTAAATCCTATAATCAATTGATCGACCTATGCTCCAATTCACAAAGTTATGTTTATCTTAATAATATTAATGGCTAAAGAAGAGGGTGGGTAGGATAGATACGAGATGTCGTTTTAGTACACCGGAGCTTCATTTAATTGCCGTCGGGGTTCCATCCATCTGCCATTCAAAGTCAAATTCCTCATAAAATTAACTTCAATTAAACAATGCACTCGGGTGGATTTTATTTTCTTTTTTCTTAAAACTATTATTATTATTATTATTATTATTATTATTATTATTATTATTATTATTATTATTATTGAGAGGTGATTGATTATCCCAATCATTTTGTTATGTGATGAAGCATATTTTGGGTCCCAGCCACGTCATAATTGACGCGCACCACGCCCTCGCCAAGTCAGCACGCGGGGTACTTCCATACTGTCACGGACAAACTTCGAAACATGGTGTTTGATGTAATGCTTATGTATGTCCGTGTCTTTTGGCATGTTCATGCCTTGTACAAAATGTAAAGGGGCGGCTGAAGGCCTATAAGCCCATTTTAGTAAGGTTGATGGTCTCTTTAGGCTTGTAAATAAAGGTTGTGTCATGTGGACACGTGTGAGAGATTTTCGGTCTATAATGGACCATTTTACCCTTTGTTGTGCCACTGTTCAGAGCTTGTAAAGTCTGTTTGTAATTTGCATTGTCTATGAAGTGTTCTTTCGGAGATGTTTGCTTGTGGATCCCGATTGAGGCGTTCTCTCTAACCCGTTCTCTCTTTTGGTGGTCCTATGGGACAATGGGAGGCTTCGGGGAGGCTGACCTTTGCGGACGGACACGCAAGGGTGCCGCACGACTTAGGAAAAACCAGCTAAGTCCGTGTCATATGGTATCAGAGCGGGACAAGCACTCATAGAAACACTTAGCATGCAAACGTGGGGGACCTAGCGGGGCTGCGTTGAGGGCAGTCAGCACACGCGCGACCGTTTGGGGGAAAACGGGCATGGAGATGTAAGGAAAAGAGTCGCTCAGAGGAGCGGGCATCTGAGATTGGCATTCAGAGGAATGGCCAACCCTTCGCGCAAGAGGCACCACGAGAACAGGCAAGCTTGAAAGAATGTGGAGCGCACAAAGGTTGGGGTGGCTGAGTTTGAGCTACGGCTCAACGTTGACAACTATACTTGATGGTGCTCTAGGCAAGCGAGGCGCTTGGTAAGAATGAGACCATGCAAGGTGGAATTAGTTGTTCAGCGATCAAAAGAGTTATGCAAAGCTCACAGAGGTGAGGGGAATTGCTAACTCAAAGAATTCGGTACTCATGCATGGGCTTGTATGCGAACGATGGAGTGTTCGCGGCCATCCCAAGGCGGCCGAGACTCGGCACCATGGAGCATTGAAACTTTCTCTTCGGCATGTGAAGGATACGTCCGTAGGAGGCTGAAGTGTGCAATGAGTTCAGCATGTTGCTAGACCTTGAGGGGTGCAGTGGGGGCTGTATTGACGGGGAGTCGCAATCTAGCAAGTGCGTTTACAGGAGGCAGAACAATGCACAGTTTGTTCAGCAGATCGGAGTAGTCCAAGGGGATGGTGGTCTCCGAAACGAAGAGAGATGTTGCTCTAATGGGACAGTTATCCAGGAGGGATAAGTCCCGGCTCTCCAGAGGGAGAATCATGTGAGACGGACTTCACATGTTGAGGAGGAGTACCTCAATAAACAACAACTCCACGAAGCTCGATGGACTGAGCAAGCGGCGAGGAGTCGTCGCATGATCTCGCTTGAGAGAATGCATTGGTGGATGCATTA